TGGACCACTTCCACTGTCCTTACTGGAATAGACACTTATTCTGGATGTGGATTTGCCTTCCCTGCATGCAGTGCTTATGCCAAAATTACCATCCGTGGACTTACAGATGCCTTATCCACTGTCATGGTATCCCACAGAAAGTCCACCTATATTGGATGCAGGCCACACATCCAAGGAAACTCCCTATCAACTGACTGGCCACTCACAGCAGATCCCATCAGGGAGGTGATCACATTATATCAAATCTCATCATGGAGGTGATCACATCATTATACGACTGCCAAACTACATCATAACTGCCAAACCACTGAGAATCATGGCTCAGCCAAGTTGACACACAATCCCAACTTTCACAGAAGCTGAGTGCATTAACCACCCAGTGACTGAGTACAGATAGGTAATTGATAAAATTGTTGCTGAATGATTGCAAGAATGAAAACAGTGAATTCCCACTACTTGACAAAGTACTGCACTCATCCATTCATTCATTCAACAAATATTTACTGAGTGTCTACTATGTGCCAGGTACTGCTTCAGGTGCTTGAAGTATATGGGTGAACTAAACACAAAGATCTCTTCCCTTGTGGTACTTACATGCCAGGGCTGGGGGAATATTGTAAACAACAAACATAAGAAATAAGTAAATCATATCAAAGTTGTTGTTGTTGGGTGCCGTTGAGTCAATTTTTGACTCATAGCAACCCCATGTGATAGAGATGAACAGCCCTGTACGGTTTTCTTGGCTGTGACCTTTACGTGAGCAGATCACCATGTTTTTCTCCAGCGGAGCTGCTGGGTGGGTTTGAACCACTAACCTTTTGGTTAGCAGCTGAACACTTAACCATTGAGCCACCTGGGCTCCTATAGTACAAACTAGAACTTCATAAATGTTATGGAAAAATAAAAGTAAAGCAGCGTAACAGTAACTAGGAGTGCTGGAAATGGATAGAGGAATGAGGGATATAACTTTAAATCGGGTGGTCAGGCAGGGTAAGCCTCACTGAGAAGGTGACATTTGAGTAAATTCGTTACGGTTGTGGGGAAGAATTCATGCAAATTTCTGGGGAAAGAACATTCTTGGCAGAGGGAACAGCCAGAGCACACGCCGTAAGCCTGGGATGTGCTTGGCATTTTCAAGGAATAGCAAGAAGGCTGGTGTGGCTGGAGCAGTGAGCAAAAAAGGGTAGTTGGAGAAGAGGTATGAGAGGTTACAAATGGACAGATCAGGTAGAGTCTTCTTAGGCCATTGTAAGAATTTTGACTTTTACTGTAAGAGAATTTGGAGCAGAGAAGGAGTATAATCTGACTTAAAATTTAAGAGGCTTAGTCTACCTTCCGTTTTAAGAAGACACTGTTGTGGGACAAAGGCAGAAGCACGGAGACGACTGGGAGGCTGTTGCAATATCCAGGTGGAAAATGATGGTGGTCAGATCCTGTACATATTTTGAAAGTACAACCATGAGATTTCTGGATGGATTGGATTTGGATGTGAGAGAGAGTATTCAAGTATGTCTCCCAAGTTCAGTCTAGTAACTGGAAGGATTGCTTTGCTTTTAACTGAGATGCAGAAGGCTGCAGAAGGAGTAGTTTAAGAGTAAGAACAGAAATTGAGTTTCAGATGTCTTGAGTTTGGAATATCTATTACACATAGAAGAAGAGAAATTGAGTAGGCTATTGGATATGCAAGTGCAGATTTCTGAGAAGAGTCTGAGATAGAAATAATGTTATTGGTAGGTAAGCAAATATATTCTCTGCTATTGAACTGAAAGTCTTTGTACTTCAGAAGGTGTGAATTGCCTGACTATTAGGCAATAAATATACTTACCATCATTTTGTTCTTAGCTTGAGCTGGGAGAAGACCTGTCCATAAATCTTGCTTTGCAAACATTCACAAAACATTCAGGCATTAATTTTGGCTTTAAAAAAAGGAAATGTTTTCCCCGGGGCATGGATGTTTAGTGTGCAGAGTTTTTCTGTTATTTTCACAGAAAGCACTTTAGAGTTTTTGTTAAGATCAATGCTATGTTAGCACATATGCTGGTATTTTTTTCCTCCCAACATCATAATATTTATAGTAGCTAAAGGAGCCCACGTTACTGTACTTTAAATATATTTCATTCAGCACTGAAAGCATAAATAATTTATTTTTAAGTTATAGGAAAGAAAATCTTGATGCTAATTTAAAAGAATGCAATCGTGAAATGTAAGTATTTGAGCATCAGCCCTGAGTCCCATAAAAACAAGTAAATCAAAATCATGGAGATTTATAATCTTATAAGGATTACATCAAGGGTCTGATGTCTTGAATTCTTAATGGCAGACATGGAAAACTCCAACACCTGTGCCAGAATGACCTCTGTGAAGCATAATATTTCCTTTAAAATATTTAGACATCATGATAGTTTTCTGCGGTTTTAATTCATAAAACATGGATTTTTTTAAAGCCACAGAAGCATAGCAATTTTTTCAGCTGTCCCCTTCTTTGCCTACCTTGCTTTTAACCCCTGTTAAATAAATGCTCACTAGTGCTAATGTGAACAACTCAATTAGCACCTTCTTTCAGAAATATAAGCATCTACAAACATCTCTGGATAAGGAAATAAAATGATAAGGGAAAACTCTGAGTTAGGGTCATGAAATCTAAAGGAATTAATATAAATAAACTAAGATAAATAACAGCTTATTCTGGGTTTGATAATGTTGCTTTTATAATGTTTTTACTAGTATTTTTCTCTCATTAGGACTCTTATCTTTGGCTACTTTCCAAATCAAATATATTATAGTGGCCCATGTTATGCACAGTGATACCTGCTTTATGATACCCAGATAACTGTTTAAGTTTTGGAAGTTTCAGAAGAAGCATGTGAGTTAACATAGGGAATTCTCATTCAATATGCTTATTTTCAGCTGATTTGCTTTCTCAATTGAGTAATCCAAAACTGGGTAGTTATGTGAAAGAAAAGATATTTAGCTGTGTTTACACTGCTTAAGCATAATTAGCTAGTTATTTTTCTTTCTTTTTAGTTCTACCCCTACCCCAAACACATGTACACGCGTATACACTCACTGTAACCAATTAGGTTATAATAGAACAAGATAATTCAATGATTGGTTGCTTATTTTGTATATTGGATACTAAGTGCCAAGAAGTACTTATGTCCAATAAATGAAATTCCTTCTTACCATGAGAGAAAAAGGTGGTGTGGGACATGTAAGGGACACAACAGTGAGCTTGAGTTGTGCACTGAGAATGGCCATTCTAAGATACACACATGTTCCCAGGACATGGTACTAAATGCAGACTCTTTGGCTCTTTGTTTGGTCCCAAAAAGAGCCAACTATGTTGACATACCATTTCTCACATATAGTCTGCTACCACTTTGAAGATCTCACATATAGATGAAGTCATGTGACAATGAAAAATAAATAAACGTCTAAGTAGTCACAGCCTTTGACACCCCCCTACCCCCAGTACCTCCTCACTTCCACCTAAACTGCTCTTGGGTCACTGTGGTCCTGATGGGGGTAGTGGAGAGATGGAGATGCTAGAAAGGTGACTTCTTTGGAACAACTATAGAGATAGGAGTAGCTTGTAAGGAACTGACCCATCTCTGCACCACAGAGAATCTCGGGGTAACAGGGCTATAAAAAACAGTCTGGGCGGTGGGCTTTCCTTGAGTTTGAGAGAGAATTTTTAACATTTAGAGTGAAGGATGAAAGATTTTTTGGAGCAGCTGCTATGTGTGTGTGTTTTAATCTTATTTCCAATTATTTTTGGTTATTGGCAGGACTTCTATTCAGTTGTTACATGCTAGCATTGGCAAACTGGTTGTTTACAGCTGTTATTTGTCCTGATTAGGCCAGCGTCTCTTCCATTTGGTCTGTGAGCTTGCCATCCCAGCTGCATGGCTCCTCCCCTGTGATCTTCTGAACACTGCCCCCCACCCTGCCCCCCACAATCCAGAAACTAAAGGATTCAAACTTGGTGCCATAGAGGCCCTCAGAACCTGCCTCAGCTATAGCTGGCGTCTATTCTGATTGGTTGTTAAGTATTTAAAACACACCTCTGATTGTAAGATATCTGGAGCCAGGCCCTAAAGATATTAGATACTCAGGAAGGACAAGTTCATGTAGGCTTCACAGTTGCTAGGGTAGAAAGAGAAGCTGCAGGAAGTGAAACTAAATATGTGGCATGAACAAGGAGACTGAAGGGTGCGGGCAGAGATATAAAGACGCACTGCTAGGAAAGGGCACTGTGAACAAGCACCACCTACGTCCTCCTTTCCTCTGGGGCTGGCCAGGCCTTTGCACAAGCCATGATCCCTCTTGAAAATTCTTTCAGGCGCCTTTGAGAAAATATTTCTTGTCGCTCCACCTTGTTCTCTCTTCTGTGGAGCATTTGTGTCACATGCACACACTACATTGGTAAGGTAGTGCTTCATACGAATTCTTTTTTTTTTTTCTTTCATAATTGGTATTTTATTGGTTGTTTTGAGGATAAGTACAGAGACATTATGAACAATCTGTACAGAATTCTTAATGTACCAAAAATCTAAAAAGCCATGTGTAGTTATAATTTTCTAAATTCCAGCTTTAAATTTGGAGGCAAATTTTCCTTAAGAGGGTATCAAATAACCAGTTATCTTCAACTGTTGATAAGCTGTTACAACGTAAGTCCCACTAATTCACAATTTAATGCCACACACACTACACACTCAAATGTTCAACCTTTCACAGCACATAACAAAGCTATGAGGAAAACTGGACTACCACGAGCAAAGATGTTACAGAACGCACAATGCTGACAAGCAGAGCCATAACGAGGGAGCAGTTTTCTTTAGGAAACAATTCTACTAAAAATCAACATGGAAATAGAAGTAATTTTAAAGTTCAAGACATATAAACGCATTACTGCAACTCCAAACTGCCATTAAGTATGCTTTGTATTACAGCATATAAAAATTGCCCCCACTTATGGAATGTTACGTTGACGCCCAAGACCATCAAAAGCCTCCCACAATTCAACATCCCACTATTTTCTGGTTGTACCAAAAAATAAACAACCAGCAAATGATTTCACCTCTTAAAAAAAAAAAACATTTACACTTAAAAATGGGATGAAGTGGGATTTCCTTCTTCTTAAAAATGTTTCTAGAGCTACTAAAAAACTTGCATTTACAAAATAGTTGATAAAAATATTCTTCTGGATTGTACAAGAAGGGAGATGCAGGGACCACTGATAAGACATGGGAGACAAACATTAATCAGACTTGGCTTCTTTCTCTCCTGCTTCATCGGAGACTGGACTCTCTTCGTTTTTAGTTTCTCCATTTTCTGCAGGTAAATCTTTAGTTTCCTGGTTAGCCACTTCAGCGTGTTTTCCTTTTGTTCCTCTTTTCCCTTTTGTTTGCACTTTTTTATCTGAAGATTTATCCTTTCCTGCTGCCTTTTTTGGATTCGTTTCTACTTTTGCGGGAACAGGTTTAGCTGACAACCTCGCCGATCTCCTCTTGGGCTCCTCCTTCACTGCCCTTTCGGCGGAGCTGACCTTCCTCTTGGGCATCTTGGCGGTAGGCTTGATACGAATTCTTGAGTGTTTCTTTTCCAAGTGTGTATGTTCAGGTTCCTTAGTGCATAGAATCTGGAGATTACATAATTTAATACTTTCGTTTGCAAACAAGAGAAAAGAAATGAGACCAGGGAAATTAAATAATTGCCCTGTGTCTCTCAGATCTAGGATCAAAAGTCTAGTTCAGTGAGATTCTCCTTTCTACCACCTGTCTCAAGTAGCAAGTTTCCTGAGGCAAATTATATTACAATCAGGACAAACCGGTTCTGTGAACTCTCAGTTGGTTCTATGCTTTGAGAACAATAGACTTAACTTTTTTATTTACTCTATGAAAGCTTGCAAAAACATCCTTAGTATTAACTTGAGTAAAAACAACAACAAAACACAAAAAACCTCTTATGATCCCATTTAAATTATATACCTATATGTAATACAAGAATATAAAAAAAACAAAAAACATTGCCGTCGAGTCCATTCTCATAAGTATAGGCAAAGGAAAAAATTCTACGCCCAAGTCAATAAATGCTTTTCTATAGTGTCAGGAGAGGCAGCATAATACAACTGTAAGAGAATGAGTCTGAAGTCTGGCTGCCCGGGTACAAATTCTGGCTTTGTCATTTACTAGCAGGGTGATACTATGCAAATTACTTAACTTCTCTGGGCCTCAGATTCCTCCTATATAAAATGGAAATGATAATGGTTTCTGCTCATAGGGTCAGTCCGATGATTATGCAAGATAATTTAGCTTAGAGCAATGCCTAGCACATAGTAAATGCTGTCTGTGTTAGGTATTATTATTATAGTTTTTTATTTGCTGATTTTTGGGGGCTGAGTTTTTGTGGCCTAAAGAGAAGGAGAGACTTGATTTCTTGCAATCAGATTTGATGAGATAACTTGTACAAAAGTGAGAGTTCAGACAGAAAGGGAGGTCCATGGGGGGTTATTACAGTAAATCCTACATGAATTATGTACCCAACATCTTGGCCACAGAAAAGTCTGAAAGTACTAAATATTACTTCATAAATCAGCTTGTTTGGGCCAGTTCTATTTTTATCAGCATGTCTTATCTCTCTTGTAAACAAATCTTGTCCACCAAAGCTGAAAAAAAAAAAAAAACAACTAACAAGCATTCTAATTCATTGGATTTTTAGTAACGACTAGAAAAGCTCAGTCTTTTATAGTATTTTTTGGCCATATTGCCTTGGTTATCTTCTGAGATGAGATGTACAAACACACAAGCTAACTTGTCCATAATTAGGACAGGAGCTTACCATGGAATCTCAGAAACAGAGGATGAATTTCAAAGGAACAACTTTTCACCTGGCTACTAAATCAAGCCTCAATGGCAAATGAAAATAATTGTCAGTAATTCTAAGAATTTCACTCTGAAACAGCTGAGTGAAATTTGCATTGTAAAATAGTGTGCTGGTACTGAATTATCAGCTACAGAAATTATTTAATGTCTAACATTACTCCTAGATAAAAAGCAGCTGTTTGCTTTAAGACATGATAGACTTCTCCCACAAAAAATATCTAGTTTCTTTTTTAAGTATGTAATTGTACATAAAATCACCTTAAGTCTTTTAAAAAGCATGTAAGAGCTGAATGCCTTTAAAATGGCAGGAAGGTAACTTCCTTGAAATGGTATTAAATTCTGGGGAGGATGTCTCTGTCCCTTTTTAGTCTTCATATATTTGCTGAATCTTAGTGAAGTCATCTTGATTGTTAGTTTGATGGTACCTTGCACTTCCTGAAGAAAGTTGTCCTTGTGGAGACTGAACCAAGTACTCATGTGGTTCCAACCAAAGACTCCTTAGGCATGCTGTAACATACTGGGCTAGGGAGATTTTCTATTGTCTTTTAGGCAAAGAGCTAATGGCAGAAGGATTTTTGGGGACTTCTAGTCATGAGGATCACTGCCATCTCTACTGGCTGAGGTGGAGTCTAAGTGATTTCCCAAATAGGATGAAAATTAGAGCCAGGAGTCAGTAGCATTTCCTTTCTCAAAATAACATTTTATTTGAATTACTTACAATTACTTAACTTACTTGAAGGGATTAATGTAATTATTTGGGAAAGTTGGCTCCAAGGAAACATACAAGTGCCTTCAGGATTCTGAAAATTATCTTCCAATTCTCCAATTCTTTGCATTTGGGAATGCAAATTGTGTGGGTAGCCTAAATATTAAGAGGAACTATTTGCCTAACAGTTGGAAAGACTGCAGTTGAAATGCATCCCTGTTAAATAAGTAGATCTAAAAAGCAACTGGAAATTAAGTGTCCACAAGGAAATGTGAACGTTAATATAAGTAACAACAGGGTGAATGTTCCAAGAGAATTTTATTTATTTAAAATTTTTTATTGTGCATTAGGTGAAAGTTTAGAGAGCAAATTAGTTTCCCATTCAATAACTGTACATAAAGTGTTCCTTGACATTCCCCACAATGTGTCAGCACTCTCTCCATTTCCACCCTAGGTTCCCCTTTCCTTTTGTCCTGATTTGCTGTCCCTTCTTGCCTTCTCATCTTTGTTTTTGGGTAAATGTTGCTCTTTTGATCTCATATAATTGATTGTTCTAAGGGGCACGTTCCTCTCAGATGTTATTGTTTATTTTATGGGCCTGTCTATGGTTTGGCTTGAAAGGTGGTCTCCAGGAATGGCTTCAGTTCTAGTTCAGAAGGATGTGTTAGGGCCATAGTCTTGGGAGTTCCTCCAGTCTTTGTCAGACCACGAAGAGAGTTTTAAAAAGAAGTTCCTTCAGAGGTTAGTTGTATGAGGCCTGGTAGGGGCTACATTAATGGAAAATTCTTATATCTTCTGAAAGTTTTCTGATGATTGAATGATGTGGCCAAAGAGACTGAGAAAGAAGTGAGAACCTCTTTCCCAAAATCTCCACTATGATATGCCCCTCCTAAATTTATTTATGCTTCATGTAAAAATTTATTGTGTATGATGAGTACCTCCTTAGTTAGATAAAGTGGTTAAAGCAATTTTTCCTCTTTAATCCAGTCCTGCCAAAAATTCATATCAGTAATTAATAACATGCTGAATTAATATTTTAAAAACTGGAGTTAAAAAACTCAACTCATAATTTAAGAAGATGTTTCAGTAAGCAGTGGCAGGGAATCATTGCAGACACTCACAGAAGAGAAGCAATAAAAATTGGTCTGTTAAAACCAAGTAGGATCAGAGACGGCGTATAGTGTCATTAGATTCTTAGGTCATTAGATTATCTTGGCTGGCTCTTTACTAAGATGAGCCAGGTTGCTTGCTTTGGGGCCTGCAAGCAAACCTTATGTGGCAAGAATTGACGTATGAATACATTTTCAGTACACCACTTCGTGTTATTTCACAGGCTTCTGACATTTGGCCATCCCCCAAATAATCTGGAGTAGGTTTCATCAATGCCTTCATTTTCCTTTTGTAATACTTAATAACTTCTTTGGGTGGGTTCTATTTAAGCAACTTTCCCACATCCAGGACCAGAGAGATCAGCGAAGGAGCTTGAATAAGGAAAGTTAAGCTCTGCTAATAACTCAAACAATGTTATCTTTGTAGGTCAAGAAAAAAGTAAAAGTAGGGGAGAGTAGACTTAATCAGGGCCCATTCCAAACCAGTGTTTTCACTCTTCCCTTCCTTCCTTTTCTATAAATAAAATTAAGGGTGAGGAAAAAGATTTGGAAAAATATTTAAACAAAAATTTTGTCCCAAGCTCTGTACCTCCTATTCCTCCCAGCCAGAGGCCACCCAGGGGCTTGATTAATGTTCTCTATTGGAGAAGTCTGAAGGAATCCATTCTTGGATAGCTTAAATGCATCTGCTTGATAGGTAACATTTCTGGGCCACACAGAAATGGTTCCAGTTTTCTGGGTTTGCCTCCAAGCTGACCAACTTTGAAAGTAGTTGTAAGGCTTAGAGCAGGTTAAAAGAGGAAGAGAGAGTAGATGTTTTCAAAGGTCATTTAGATCAAGGTTTCTCATCCTTGACACTATTAACATTTTGGATTGGATAATTCTTTGTTGTGAGGGGCTGTCCTGTGCATTGTAGGATGTTTAGCATTATCCCTGGCCTCTACCCACTAGATGCCAGTAGACGCCTTACCAGTTGTGACACCCAAAAATGTCTCCAGACATTGTCAAAGGTCGCCTTGGAATAGGTTGCTGGATAAAACACAGGATGCTCAGTTAAATTTGAATTTCAGATAAAGAAAAGTTTTTTTTGGGTATAAATTATGTCCCAAACTTGCCTGAGACTTACTTACACTGAAAAATTATTTGTTCTTTATCTGAAATTCAAATTTAACTGGGCATCCTATATTTTTATTTGCTAAGTCTGGCAATCCTGTCTGGGGAACAAAATTGTACTCTACCCTCAGTGAAAAACCACTGTTTTAGATAAATATTTTAATAAGGATGTGACTCTATTCTCCCTGGTGTTTTATGGATTAGAGTAATTATAGGGATAGGCCAGAGTTTTTGGAAATGTTCCTATTTGGTTAACTTGTACTCAAGGAAATATTTGTTCTTATTTTCCAGCATTCTTAGGATGGGAATGTCAAACAATGACCATTCCTTTTAGCCACTGCTAATTTCTCTCTAAAGAGCCCTCATGGTGCACTGGTTAAGGGCTCGGCTGCTAACCAAAATGTCAGTGGTTTGAACCCACCAGCCTCTCTGCTGGAGAAAGATATGGCAGCTTCCATAAAGATTACAGCCTTGGAAACCCTATGGGGCAGTTCTACTCTGTCCTATAGGATCTCTATAAGTCTGAATCAATTTGATGGCAATAGATTTAATTTCCCTCTGGGCAGACAAAACACGTGCTGAGGGCATTGGCAAAACAGAAGCATGAGAAGAGAGAGAGAGGAAGAGAGGAAAAATGGGGGAGAGGGAGAAAGAAAGGAAGAGAGATTTTTTTGGAAAGAATTAGTATTTTTAAAAAGCACCAATGTAGTAGACACTATGGAGGATGTAGTAATTTTGTTGAATTTATGGGATTAGA